CACCAAGTCAAGGGTTAAGATCCCCTTACCGGTCATCTTAAAAAAAAAAAAAAAAAGAATGAATCTTGAGTGTTCTTACAGAGGCGGAATAGTACAGATGTTTCAAAAAATAGGGCATCATTTTTAACAGCTTATAAGCCTACGAAAAGATACCCCACCTACATCTCAATAAAATGTTCACCTTTTGAAAAATATTCACTCATTTGAAAAGGTCAGAGAGTTTGAACGTTTTATTCATTGCTGAGGCCATGGAGAAAGTCACTTTTCAGGTATTAGCTTGTTAAATTTAAAATGCACATGTTTTCAAACCAGCTATTCCACTTCTCTAAAATTATCCTCTAATATAAATATTGGGAGGTTAACAATTGCAAAAGTGTTGTCTAGAAACCTTAATGTAGCATCATTTCTTGGAGCAAAATATTGGAAACGACTTAAGTGTCCATCAGTAAGGGTCAAGTTAAATCATTCTGGTAATCCTTCTATTGGACTATTATGCAATTGTTTAAAAAATGAGGCAGCATCACGGATTGAAGAATTTCCACAACATATATTCTTTGACAACAAATAAACTCTAATTCCCAAGGAATTAGAATCTTCTTCAGTATTATACTGACAGTGAATTTAAACCCTTTATTAAAAAGTTGATCCAAGTTACGGTGAGTAATTATTAAACTAGCACTCATGCAACCACCTCCAAATTCAGGGTATGGAAGTTGTTAACACCATTAGCTCCTGCATGTTCCTTCCCCACCAAGTGACCTTCTTGCCCCCACCAGCTCCCTCTCTTCTGCCTTTCCTCTTCACTTTCCTATTATATACTATTGATTTTTTATGAATATGCCAACACACATACATAACAATTTTAGTTTGATGGACACTGGATGGTTTCCAGCTTGAGGCAATTTGGTGGAAACAGGTGGGTTCTTTTCCAGCGCACATTATCTCCACCTGGTTCTGGGCTGCCCCTTGGATTGGGGCTCAGACTGAATGCCCTGCTCTCTACAGTGACATTCCCTTCCAACTTCACAAAGACCTCCTCAGTCCCCTGGTGCTCTGCAACCTGTTCCACAGGTTCTAGTCAAAATTGATTGTGTGTTGTTTTGGTCTGTTTTTATTGGGAGGGGACTAGGAACAAACCTCTCTAGTCATCCACTCTGGGAACTGTCTGTAACTTTCTTTTCTTTCTTTCCTTTTTTTTTTTTTTTTTTTCAGGGAAAATTTCCAGAAAGACCACAAGATCATGAGATGTAAAGCAAATATCACCCTTTTTGATTGGTGAATAGGCGTAATTGGGTACAATGACCATAGAGAATTACTGGGAAGGCAGAGATTAAAAAAAAAAACATTGAACATTAAAGTATTTCGAACATCTCTGATGGATAGGGTTGGTCCAAAGTTCTCTCAGGAGAGGACACTCCAGGGAGAAAAGGCAGTATAAGGAGAGGAGTGGGGGGTGAGGAAGGGTCTTCTGCTGTTGATGTCCAGGGTCCTGCAGTGGGATGGGAGGCAGTGGGATGGGAGGCAGTGACGGGCACTGCAGGGGGTGGCCATGGAGGTTCTCATTACCTGAGTCTGTGGGCAGAGAAGAATGGGGGCTGCAAGGGATGCCGTCTCTGAGAACTGGCATTGTGTGTCCTGACTCAAGGGTTTGCCTTGCACCCATCCTTGACAAAGATTTACATTCTACAAGAAAGTGTGTGCCTTGTCCTCTGTTGGAGCCTAAAGCTCATCTGTGAAATGACACTTCCCTTTCTTAGCCTAGAGGGAGGATGGGAGAAGGGAATGACCATTCCTGAGCACTTTTTAATAAACAAACCAACTTTTTCTAAGACTGAGCCTCAATTTTTCCAGAAATGAAATGGTACTTCCCCCATTCCCAGACTGATGGGAGAGAGGATATCAGTTCTCTTTTTGGGTTTCCTGGTTGGGAGAATGGAAGTGTGAACTTTGGGGTCCAGGTGGAAGGGAAGGCAGCCTCCACAGATGCTTGCCCCTCTGTTCTCAGTGCAGAGAGCACAGGCTCACGCTCAGCCTTCCCCAGCTCAACACAGCCCCCTTCCCAGTCTGCCCCTCTCTCAGTTATTCACACCCCAAACCCCATGCTCAGTCCAGAAACCCCAGTGTCATCCCTTACCCTTCTCTACCTATCACACCCTTTATTATGCCTATTGGAAAACCCTAGGGCTCTACTTTCATAAAACAACCAGGAATTATCCAGTTCTCATCCCCTGCCAGTTTACTGAGGGCAGAAAATTGTCTATTTTATCTATTCTGAGTGCCTTCTAATCCTTTCTTTAACAAACAAATGTCTTTTCCTATAACATCTTTCTGAAATACTAACCAGACAGCATAACTCAGAAACAAGTGGTGAATTGGGAGGTCAAATATGTCTGGACTATGGATTTCTTCAGAATCTATGGCTTTATAACTAGGAGTGAAGATAAAACAGAAACATATTCCCAGTTGGATTTAAATGTTTAGCCAGAATCATAAGGAACTGAAAGTACTGGGGAGCATGTGGCAGCCGCCCAGTGCATCCCTGAATCCATCCTGGAAGATTTGCAGAGATGAGAACAAGTATCAACAACTTGAAAGATGAAGGGTTCCATCACATTCCCATTTGACTTGCTTATTTGGCCTGCATGGAAGACAATTGGCTCTCAGAATGACGATGGATTATCATAAGCTTAACCAGATGGTGACTCCAATTGCAGCTGCTGTTCCAGATGTGGTTTTGTTGCTTGAGCAAGTTCACACATCCCTGGTACAAGGTATGAAGCTACCTATATGGCAAGTGTGTGGGGTTTTTTTCCTTGGTACCTATTAGTAAAGGCCACCGGAAGCAATTTGCTTTCAACTGACAGAGCCAGGAACATACCTTTGCTTCCCCATTTCAGACTGTATCAGCTCTCCAACCCTATGTCAAATTTAGTCCACACAGATCTTGGTCACTTTTCCCTTTTACAGGACATCATACCAGTCCTTTACATTAATGATATTAGGCTGAATAAAACTGGTGATGAGGAGGTGGCCACAACTTTAGACATACTGGTAAGATGATTGTGTGCCAGACTGTGAGAAATAAATCTCATAATAATTCAGGGGCTTTCCAATTCAGATAAATTTTTAGGAGTCCAGGGGATATGTTAAAACATCCCTTCTCAGGTGAAGAATAAGTTGTTGCATCTGACTCCTTCTACCACCAAAAGTGAGGGACAATGCCTAGTAAGCCTCTTTGGATTTTGGAGGCAACATGTACCTCACATGGGTATGTTACTCTGGCCTAGTTACTTAGTATCCTAAAAAGCTGTTAGTTTTGTGGGGTGCCCAGAAAAAGAGAAGGCTCTACAACATACCCAGGATGCCATGGAAGTTGCTCTGGTCATGCCATCTAGCAGATACACTGGTGCTGCGAGTGTAAGTGGCAGGTAGAGGTAATCTCTGGGACATTTGGCAGTCTCTTATAGGTGAATCATAGCACAGATCCAAGATTTTGGACCAAAGACCTGCCTTTGTGGATAACCACTCACCTTTTGAGAAAAAGCTTTTGGATTGCTACTGGGCCTTAGTAGACAGTGAATGCTTAACTCTGCCCACCAATTTACCATGAGACTATCTGCCCATCATGAACTGGATGTTGTCTGACCCACCAAGCCAAAAAAGTTGAGCATGCACAGCAATACTCCATTGTCAAATAGAAATGGTATATGTGAGATTGGGCTTATGCATGCCCTGAAGGCACAAGAAAGTTGCATGAGGAAGTGGCCCAAATTCCATAACCCCTAGTTCTGCCCCATTACCTTCTCTCTTCCAGCCTTTACCTTTTGCCTCAAGGGGAGTCTGCCTTATTTCACTTGGCATGTTTTAAAGGTTCATCCATGTTGTAGCAAGTATCAGAATGTCATTCCCTTCTAAGTCTAATAATATCCCATGGGATGTATATCTGTTGATAGACAAATGTTTATTGTCTTTTGCCTATTGTGAATAATACTGCTATAAACATTGGTGTACAAGTATTTGGTCGAGTCTCTTCTTTCAATTCTTTTGGGTATTTACCAGAAGTGGAATTGCTGGATCACATGGTAAACTTTTTGAGGAACCATGATAGTGTTTTCCACAGTGGCTGCACCATTTTACACTCCCAACTGCAATGTACAAGGTTCCAATTTCTCCACATACTCTCCAACATTTGTTATTTTCCATTTTTAAAATAATAGCCACCCTAATGGGTGTGAAGTGGTATCTCACTGTGGTTTTGATTTGTATTTCCCTAATGACTAGTGATGCTGAGTACCTTTTCATGTGCTTATTGGCCATTTGTATATCTTCCTTGGAGAAGTGTCTGTTCAAGTCCTTTGCCCATTTTTGAATTGGGTGGAGTTTTTGTCGTTGTTGAATTGTAGGTTTTCATGTAGTCTGGATATTAATCTCTTACCATATATATGATTTGCAAGTATTTTCTACCATTCAGTGAGTTGTCCTTTTATTCATTTAATAGTGAGTGGCCTTTTAATACACAAAAGTTTAAAATTTTGATGAAGTCCAATTTATCTATTTTTTTTTCTTTTGTTGCTTGTGCTTTTGGTTTCATATCCAAGAAATCATTATCAAATTCAACATCATGAGGATTTCTCTCTGTTTTCTTCTAAGATTTTATAGTTTTAGGTTTTACATTTAGTCTTTGGTGCATTTTGAGTTAATTTTTCTGTATGGTGTAAGGTAAGTGTTCAATTACATTCTTTTGCATGGGTATATCCAGTTTTCTCATTTGTTGAAAAGACTGTCCTTTCCTGATTAAATGGTCTTGGCATCCTTGTTGAATATCAATTGACCGTGTATGTGAGTGTTTATTTCTGGGCTTTCAATCCAATTCCATTGGTGTATATGTCTGTCCTTAAGCCAGTATTACACTGTTTTGATTACTTTAGCTTTGTACGGGGAGACAAACTTTGGACAGAATAAAAAAGCCACTTCCAAAGTCATTTTAAAACAGTAAATATCTTGGATTTGGTCTCGTTTTCCTATTTTCAGGACCTATACGAATGCTATTCATTACCAGTGTTTACGTATCTTGCGAAGATGAAATCCGTGTGCTGTTCAGCTGTGCTGGTGAGAAGTTCCACCATGAAACATGAGACACTTCTGCAGTGTCAGAGAACACTTTTTGGTCTCCTTCTTCCCATGCTACAACTCAATCTCACACCCACACACTTATACTACTCTTTCTTCTGTCACCAACACAGAGGTAGGGAGTAAAGCCTGGATTCTGTTCTCAGTTCCTTCTATTGCACTTACCTTATCTCATTCAGGTGCTGAGCTGAAGGTGAGCCCACGTTAAGTTTGGGGCCATCTTGTGTTATTGCTCCTTATTCCATTGAATTCTGTCCTCTTGGCCCGCACCAGCCACTCACTGCCAAGGGAGATGGGAGGAGATATCAGACAGATGCACAAGAAACAATGTCCCCTGTTGGTTTTTCAGGTTATAACTGCACATTTGCTCATGCATTCATTTCTGCACTCTTTCCACACACCTGTTTTGAGCATTGTCTCTGTTCTTGGCCCTGTGAAATTAGGATCCACAACTCCCACACTAGGCTTTCCTCGAAACTACAGTTTCCTCAGCAGGGGCACCTGGGAAGGGACACGCTCCAGGTGTGGTAGACACTTGCTCCTTGTTAATTATTTCATTTACTTAACAGTTTCTGGTGCCAGAAGAAGATGACCATGTTACTTTCCTGCTTGTACCTTCCTAGAGCTTACAATTGTATTCAGAACAAAGCGAAAGCCTCTGATGTTAGTTCTCAAAGCCTTTATAATAGAGATTCTTCTTCTCTATCTGATATTTACCAGAACTTCTTAAGTCTTCCTGTCCTCTTTAAAAAGTAAAATATTGGGATTGCCTTACTGGCCAGCCACCAATAAAGAAGTAGTCCTGTCCTCTTTAAAAAGTAAAATATTGGGATTGCCTTACTGGCCAGCCACCAATAAAGAAATAAGTAAATAAATAAATAAAAATTAATCAAAAATATTGATGTGGTGCCATAGATGTAATGTGGTATGCTTCTTTTTTCTTATATTGCAACTTCTGCTTATTTTTTACACTAGCTCTTTATTGATAGAACATGCTAGTATGTAAATATCCAGACTAATTATTAACTTTTTTTTTTTTTTTTTGTCTTTTTTCGTGACCGGGCTTTATTGATAGAACATGCTAGTATGTAAATATCCAGACTAATTATTAACTTTTTTTTTTTTGTCTTTTTTCGTGACCGGGAACGGATTGCAACCCTCAGTGTTGCGCCCGTACCGGACCGGGACCGGCAACGGGATCGCAACCCTCGGTGCTGCTCCCGCACCTCGCTCAGCCAGTGAGCGGGAACCGGTCTGTATGCGGGATCCGAACCCTCGGGGGGAGTGCCACCGCACTCCCAAGCGGCGCACTGTAGCAGTGCGCCACCGGGCCGGCCCCAATTATTAACTAACCCTCGGGGGGAGCGCTGCCGCGCTCCCAAGCGGCGCACTGTAGCAGTGCGCCACCGGGCTGGCCCCAATTATTAACTTTTTGAGTTAACCCTCTATTAATGCTGCATTTATTTTGAGGGCAAGGGTGGGGAGATCCCCATCCATCTTAATATATGGTTTATGAGTACGTTGTGTGGAGTGTAGGTCTAATTTACAGGTATAGGTTTTTTTTTTAATGTAAAGCAAAAAGAGCAATTTTGGGAGCAACTTGTTTCTCCAAAAGACGAAATAGGTAAAAGATTTTAATAATTGCTGAATGACCATGTTGATGAAGGTTTAGCTTTCTCCAGTTCTAAATTCTGTCGCATTAGAATTCCTTTACAAAAATATCAAACAATTCAGAACTTGTGATTCAGAAAACCACATAAATTTCTACTTCCTCCAGCATAGAGATTTCAAGCGATGATTCAAGGAGCCCTCTAAGTCTTCTGTTTTGCTAGCCCCTCACGTGGAGGAAGAGGCCTGGATGTTCCATTAGTCGAGCCAGAACCACGGACAGAACCGCAGGGTTTTGGTGTCCTTTTTTTTTCCTGGTATGGTTGACAAATAAAAATTGTGTACATTTAAGGTGTACAACATGATGTTTTGATATACATATATGTATATACACACACACTGTGAAATGATTAGCACCATCAAGGTAACTAATATACCCATCACCTCACCTAGTTACTTGTGTGTGTGTGTGCTGAGAACACTTTAAATCTACTCTCTCAGCAAATTTCGAGTACACAGTACATTGTTGTTAACTACAGTCACCATGCTGTACATTGTTTCTAGAACTTATTCATCTTATAACTAAAAGTTGATATCCTTTGACAAACGTCTCTTCATTTCTTCCAACCTCCAGCCTATGGTAACCACCATTCTACTTTGTTACCGTGAGTTTGACTTTTTTTTTTTAAGATTCCGCATATAAGTGAGATCATGCAGTGTTTGTCTTTCTGTGCCTGCCTTATTTCACTTGACAAACGTCTCTTCATTTCTTCCAACCTCCAGCCTATGGTAACCACCATTCTACTTTGTTACTGTGAGTTTGACTTTTTTTTTTTAAGATTCCACATATAAGTGAGATCATGCAGTATTTGTCTTTCTGTGCCTGCCTTATTTCACTTAGCATAATGTCCTCCAGTTTCATCCATGTTGTCACAAATAGAATTTCCTTCTTTTTTAAGGCNCTGGATGTTCCATTAGTCGAGCCAGAACCACGGACAGAACCGCAGGGTTTTGGTGTCCTTTTTTTTTCCTGGTATGGTTGACAAATAAAAATTGTGTACATTTAAGGTGTACAACATGATGTTTTGATATACATATATGTATATACACACACACTGTGAAATGATTAGCACCATCAAGGTAACTAATATACCCATCACCTCACCTAGTTACTTGTGTGTGTGTGTGCTGAGAACACTTTAAATCTACTCTCTCAGCAAATTTCGAGTACACAGTACATTGTTGTTAACTACAGTCACCATGCTGTACATTGTTTCTAGAACTTATTCATCTTATAACTAAAAGTTGATATCCTTTGACAAACGTCTCTTCATTTCTTCCAACCTCCAGCCTATGGTAACCACCATTCTACTTTGTTACCGTGAGTTTGACTTTTTTTTTTTAAGATTCCGCATATAAGTGAGATCATGCAGTGTTTGTCTTTCTGTGCCTGCCTTATTTCACTTGGCATAATGTCCTCCAGTTTCATCCATGTTGTCACAAATAGAATTTCCTTCTTTTTTAAGGCCGAATAGTATTCCATTATATTTTAAATTATATATAGTATATATATAATTTAATTTATGTTAATATAATTAATATAATAATAAATTAATATAAATTTTAAGTTATATATATATCACATTTTCTTTATCCATTCCTTCATTGATGGACACTTAGGTTGTTTCCATCTCTTAGCTATTGTGAATAATGCTGCAATGAACATGGAAGTGCAGGTATCTCTTTGACATACTAATTTCATTTCCTTTGGATACATGTATACCCAGAAATGGGATTGTTGAATCATAAGGTAGTTCTATTCCTAATTTTTTTGAGGAACCTCCATACTGTTTTCCATCATAGCTGTACCAATTTACATTCCTACCAATAGTTTGTAAGAGTTCCCTTTTCTCCAAAACCTTCCCAATATCTGTTCTATTTTGACTTGTTATTTTTTTTTTGACTTGTTATTAATAGTCACCTTACCAGGTGTGAGGTGATATCTCATTGTGGTTCTGATTCACATTTCCCTGCTGATTAGTAACACTGAGCATTTTTTCATATACCTGCTGGCTATTTATATTTCTTCATTGGAAAAATGTTTATTCAGGTTCTTTGTCCAGTGTTTAAAAGGTTTTTTGGTGGGCTTTTTTGAGTTGTAGGAGTTCCTTATATATTTTGGATATTAACTCCTTATTGGATATATGCTTCACAAATAATTTTTTCCTATAATATAGATTGTTTTCCTTTTCTTTTCTTTTCTTTTCTTTTTTTTTTTTTTTTTTTTTTGGCTGCTGGCCCATATGGGTATCCAAACCCTTGACCTAGCTTTTCATTTTGTTGATTGTCCTCTGCTATGCAGAGAGCACCTTTTGAGGGCTCTGGCATCAAGGACAGCAACAGAGATAAGATCTTATTTTGTTCGGGACACCAGAATAGACAGAATAGATTGGGAAGAGCTAAAAGACATTGCAAAGGAAAGATTTTTTTTTTTTTTTTTTTTTTTTTTAA